AGTCTTAGGAAAGCTTAGAGGCAGTCTGAGGGAACTGATTACTAATCAAAATGACCTGGCAAAGCTCACCCTTTTACTTTGGGTCAGTCAAAAATATAATAATTCTCCTCCTAAATGTGGCTACCCAGACTTGTGCCAAAATGAATGTCAGGAAAGCATCTGTTTAGTTTTGTTCAGTTGGTGGGCCATTTAGGTAAAAAGGGGTTGTTGGCATTGTCCACAAGCCAAAGCAAGAGCATGTTCACCAATCTGCACCCAGTTATATTCCTATATTAAGTGCCCAGGAACACATCTGGCCTCAGTTGAACAACGAAAGCAGTTTCATGCTTTGATTTTCAAGAATCTTGCCACAAGAAACATGTTGGCTTTTAAAAAAATTCATCACACTTAGCATGAAAATCAAGTCAAATATTCCACTGAGCATTTTACTCTCTTTTTTTTGACACCTTCCTACTAAACCTAGCCTTCTATTAAGAGCAACAAGCTGGTGTTGCCCTTCTGACTAAGAAGGTAACATTAATGGAAAAGCAGGTCAAGTAAAAGAAAATGTTGACAGATGCAAAAATAAAGATATAATTTGCTTTCCTCTTAACCCTGTTCTAAGCACAGCAATTGTACGAGCACAATGATAAGTAGCCAATGAAACCAGGCTTGCATCAAGGAGGCAAAAGGGGGTTGTGGGCACTGTGGAAAGCAAAGAAGGGGAGAGAGAGAGAGAGAGAGAGAGAGAGAGAGAGAGAGAGAGAGAGAGAGAGAGAACACTAACTCAGTTCAAAGGAGCATCACTGCCCGGCACTCCATGCATATTATTTCTGGGTGCTATATTTCCATTTTGTCAAGAGAACTTACAAATTCAGATTTTAATGTGAAGTCTCCTAATTAAAAAAAATTGTGGTAAAAATATATAACATAAAGATTATCATTTTAACAATTTCTAAATTATATTTCAGTGATGTTAAGTATATTTCCTTTGTTGTATAACTAATCACCAGAACTTTTTCATGCTGCAAAATTGAAAATCTGTACCCAAACTGAAACAACCCCCATTGCCCTCTACCCCTAGCCAATGTCAACCACCATTCTACTTTCTGTTTCTATGAATTTGCTACTTTAGATAGCTCATATAAGTAGAATCATTCAGTATTTGTCTTTTTCTGATGGGCTTAATATATTTAGCCAGTGTCCTCAAGGTTCATTCATGTTGTAGTGAAATGGATGTTCCTCTGGTCAGGATGGGCTCTTTGTCCACGGACGGAAGGTGGTATAGCAAAGGTGGAAATTTATTAAATAACAAGTACAGACTCCTATGTGGGGAGGGGGAAGAGTCCTACTGAGTCCCTGTTTCCACAGTTTATAAAGGCTGTAGATCTGTGTGCCTTGATATCCCCTCTGATTGGTCACTTTCCCCTTAGAATGGTTACTATAGTAACTTCTGAGCTTCAAGGTAAAACCTCACATGGGACATGTGAGATTTTCCTCCCCTCTTCCCTTGTTTTCTTATTGCCTTTGGGCTTACTTATTCTGGATGAGAAGCTTCCTTCCCTTTATTTTATAAATGTAGATCTTCTGCTGTTTCCAGCTCCCTCATTCTCTGGAAATTTACCTATTGCAGCTTTTCAGCTCCCCTATTCTCTGGAGACACACCTGCTGCTGCTCTTTCATGGCCCTCTTAATTTCTAAAATTTCCTAAACCTGTCTTTTTTCAATCCTAAAAATTCCTGTTTCAGTAGCATTGTTACAGAGAACCGAGAAGAACAAAGCAATATTTAGAGAGGGAGTTATATTTATGACGCCCGGATCCAGAGGAAAATGTCTCTCAAATTCTGGGCCCCAAAATGCAGGAATTCTCCCTATTTATATGTTTTTACCTTCTTTATCTCCCAAATACGGTTTTTTTTCCCACCCCCTTTTGTAAATTCTTAAAGAGCTTGTATGTACTAGGGCCTTGAGACCTCAACCAGAGTCCTGGCCTGGCGCCAGCACAGATAACCTTGTCTGGGGAAGTTTTAATGGCCTCTCTGAAGTGGGAGTAGTCTTAGCAAGCAAGGATTTTCAGAAGCCAAATAGCAGGGTTAAAATTTCAAACAACAGTTTTTATATAAGATGGATGCTTCAGCATGTGCCAGAATTTCCCTTCTTTTTAAGGCTGAATAATATTGCACTATATGTACATGCCACGTATTGTTTATTCATCCAGGGATGGACACTTGGGTTGCTTCCACCTCCTAACTATAGTAAATAGGGCTGCTATAAACACAAGTGTGCAAAAACCTGTGTGAGTCCCTGCTTTAATTTCTTTTAAGTATATAACCAAAAACGGAATTGCTGTGTGATGCGGTCATTTCACGTTGAATTTTTTGAGGAACCACCTTACTATTTTCCACATAGATACACCATTTTACATTCCCATCAACAGCAAAAGAGTTTCTTTTTCTCCACATCCTTGCCCCTGATTTTTAAATATTTTTCTTCCAAAGATATTCTGGATAACCTATGCTGTGGACCCCCACTCTAGCACTGGCCTTTCTTCTCTGAAAGACAGCTTATCTGAAAGAAAAGTTCCATATTGTTTGGAAGGAAATCTCATAACTGACTGAAAACATGAGGGTGTGAAAGCAGCAGACTGTATAATATCAAGTTTTGAAGACTATAGGGTATTAGTAACTAATAACATTTAAAATGAAAGATTTTAAACTCGAGTACAGAAAACCACAAAAATATATGGAAATTCTGAAAGCAGTTTCAAATGGTTAGCAACCAGCAGTTTCACACAGACTACATCTCTCTGCAGAAAATATGTTACCCAACTAGCATCATCCTTTAGATATTTTAGAACAGCTACTGTGGTAGTTTTTTAAAATTAGAAATTGTCTTCAAGGAAAAGAAGCTACAAAATGGTCTTGGTCTGTACCTCTAGGCAGAATTCATATTCACTCCTTCAGAATGGTTAGAAAAAACTATTTTATACGTCAATTATATGCCCAGTTTACTTAGTGGTGGTGGTGGTGGTTGTTGTTGTTGTTTTAAGATTTGTGAGAATAAGGTGATTATGGTGGGGAGACAAATTTGATGTGTGTAAATAGGCACAGGATTCTGTCAAAATTATGTTCATTCCACCTCAACTTCAAACACATTGAGGTAGCCAGGCCATTACCAACAGAATCCAATAGCAACCTTTTAAAAAAAGCCCAACTGCACTTGATGTCTCAACTGTTCCTTCATAGAAAACCACATGCCTCAGTTTTGTTCTAGTGTGGCTAATATGATTTCATCATCTTAGGGAGCAACATAGCCATGGAGAGATAATTCCAAAGTCATAAGGACTTGGGATAATTTTGCTGAACTTGAAACATTACCCCAAAACATACCCTGTTTCCCCGAAAATAAGACAGTGTCTTATATTAATTTTTGCTCCCAAAGATGAGCTAGGTCTTATTTTCAGGGGATGTCTTATTTTTCCATGAAGAAGAATACAGTACACATTTATTGTTAAATGAAAATAAAGGAAATTTATTACCTGTATACGGTAGTACGGTAGTTGTCAACACAAACCAAACAAACTGTGAATCCTACAGTATCAAGAATTTACTCATTTATTCAATGACAATCATGTCATCATCTTCTGGAACATCATCAAAGCAATCCAATTCCTGAATTTCCTGGTGAATTTCTTGTGACTCCATTTCTTTCAGAATCAGTGGACCAAATCTCTCATGTTTAGCCTAGGGGGGCCTTATTTTCGGAGGGATGCCTTATATTTCAGAAGGAAACCTGTAAGTAGGTCTTATTTTCGGGGAAACACAGTATATTTAGGGTAAAATCTGGTAAAGTGCAGGACAGGCACTCATTTTTCATTTGAAATTATTTTGAGTGGTAACAAAACTACTGCAAACTAGTATTTATCCAAGTTCTGCTTTGCCTGTGATAGGTATTGTCCATTCATATAGCAGCTTCATAAACTCACAAGGAGTATCTAAGTTGAATGAATGCATGTGCCTACCTCATTGCTTTGAAATCAATGGCATTTTAATCCAGTGGGATAACCTAAGTCATCAGAATATGTCTTAGCCTGTCTTTGGTAGCTCTCCTAAGAAGACCTGTGTTTGTCATGGTCCCTTTAAGTATAAGGAGTTTGAGTTTATACATCAAATTGCATTTCAACAAGACTTCTTTATAAACTCAAAACAACATAAATACAGGGTGTGGCAAAAGTAGGTTTATAGTTGTAAATATGTGAAACATGGAGTTTATTCTTGTATTATTATTTGATTATTGTATTATCTTCTATACATATAACTGTAAACTTACTTTTGACCTACCCTATAAATTTCACTTATAGATTAGATTGAACAATTACTTCAAAATTATAACTTGTATGTGTCATGTATCTTTAAAAGAGAAGTGTGTGTTTTTTTATATAGTGGTAGCTATAAAAAACAAATATTTCTTTAGAAGTATTGATGTTATTAGATTTTATGGCCTAAAGAAAAAAAGTCCTTTCAGTCATGATTTGTTCAAAACTAAGGCTGCATTTTTGCAAAAATTATACTATATATATTCACATCCTAGTAGAAATTCTTACTTTAGCAGTGCCGAGATTTCTCCTGCAATATCATGTGATGTAACAATGTCATTTAAAATGGGATTTTATTTATTCTACAGATTTTTCTACATCCAAATTCCCATTAGCTTCATAACAATTTCCTTTCAGTAAATAATGTACAAGTGGCCTTTGAAAAAAAGTAGAATAGCCTGGACTCTTTCCCAAGAACTTCCCACTGCATGCATTACTGCTGCCCCTTTTTGGATCATGAGTGTGCATTTTTCATGGCTCTTGACCCTGGCCAAAATAACCTGAGCTTGCTTCCCATCCCTAATAATAATTATGTTCTATATAATTATTATTATGATGATCCTTTCTCCTCGGTAGAAAAGTGACTGGACCAACCCAAAAAGGACTAGCCTCTTCCTTCTCTCATTCACAATTCCTTCTGTTGCAGATTGGATTTGAGGACCCTCCCCTCCAGGGACAGGCTGCAGCGTCAGGGAGTGGGAATGGAGCTGATTCTGAGCCAGCTCGCCATATCTTCTCCTTTTCCTGGTTGAACTCCCTGAATGAATGATGTTCATTCCAACTGCTGCCCCTCTGTCTGCCTGGCTGAAATGCACACAAGTAGCAGGGAACCCAGATGAAATTACTATGATGTAAATGATGAAAGGGACCTCAGAACAAGATTTCTGCAACAGAAGAAAAATCTTTAATTCCAGATGATTTATCTAACACATTAAGGGAAAACAGCTGCAGAAAGCATTGGGAAAAAGAAACTTGATATTATGCAAGTCTTTCATTGTGTGGGAAACAGTATAAAGAATGTGTCAGTGTGGTATATGTGAGCATGTGTCAATAACAAGTGGCAAGCGTTGAAAAAAGTGAGCACTACACTCTTGTCTCTAATAGGCACTGGCTTTTGTTATTATATAATAGATCTTTTTCTCTTTCCTTGTTAACAATGCAGATGGTCAGTGAAATTCACTATTAATTTAGAAATGACTAAATTACCAATATGTGAACAAAAGGTAAATCATTGACCAAAGGTATGATATGTTTCACAAAGGTTTCCTCTTTTCCATAATATATGTTGCTGGATTTATATCTAGAAATGTTCTTTGACTGACACTTTCGTAGTCCAGAAGGCTAAAGGCCTAGGGCATTTCTTGTGACATTTTCCTAGTCTAGTTTTAGATATGCAGATAACAAGCACTTTAATTGGGGGGAAAAAACCTTTCTACAGGAACCATCTACTTTCTCATGTATCCAATGAAACACAACTTCATGTATTTAAATATATATGTATGTACACACACACACACACACACACACATATATATACACATGTATACATATATATACTACATTATATATGTATATATATATTTAAATCATGTTTTATTTGTGCCACCATAATGCCCCCTTCAGAACATAAATACTTTACTCTGTATCAACTCTTAAATAAATGCTGTTTTTAACAACTTAGTCTTATAATGATTTATTCAGTGTTTTATCTTATTAATCCATTAGTCAAGTATTTAAAAGGTCCCAAGGGAAGAAGCATCTTCATACATCCAAATTAATTTTGAAGTATTAAACAATCAATTGATTTTTTTTTTATCTAGGAGTTTTATAGTCTTACTAAAGACCTGTTGCAGGAAGATTCCTGCAAGACCAGAGCTTCCAGAGGGCTTCCCTCCTGCCACCACCACACCTCTGCCCCCTGCACTTTCCCTCCTGCTGCTTTCCCTCCTCCCACTTTCCCTTCCCTCCCACTGCCTCTGCTCTACTCCCTGCACTTTCCCTCCCGCCCTCACTGCTGCCCCATGATTTCTCTTCCACTGCCCTGCACTTCCTCCCACTGCCACATCTCCCCAACCCCCCTTGCTTTCCCTCCCACTGCCACCAAAGCCTCACTTTCCCTCCCTCTTCCTTCTATGCTGTCTTCAGTCTTCACTCCTCACTCCCTCTGTGTATGGAAATTAACTGCCATCTTTGTTGGGTTAATTTGCATATTTGCTCTGATTGGCTGGTGGGCATAATGGAGTGATAGTTAATTTGCATGTTTCTCTTTTATTAGTGTAGATATTTTACAATTAACTCCATGGTTAATTTTGTGTTAATAATTGTGTAAGATGTTAAATTTTGGATGAGGTTCTTTTTTGAAAAAATATTTTTATTGATTTCAGAGAGGAAGGGAGAGGGAGAAAGAGATAGAAACATTAATGATGAGAGAGAATCATTGATCAGCTGCCTTCTGTACACCCCCCACTGGGGATCAAGCCTGGATCCTGGTGTGTGACCCTGACTGGAATTGAAAACAGGACCCTTTATTAGTCCAGTGGTTGCCAACCTTTCGAACCTCGTGGACCACCAGTTGGCAATTGTTGCTTCAAAGGTTTCCTTAAACCAGTGGTCACCAACCTTTTGTAACTCATGGACCACTAGTAGTAGTCCACAGGCCAATGCTCTATCCACTTAGCAAAAACAGCTAGGGCTCAATTGCATTTTTTAAGTTGTAACTAAACTACCAAAGGTGAATGCATTGTAAAACTAACTAGATGTGTTGTTTGAATTCAGAAGTGAATAGAGATAGTTTATATTACTAAAATGAAAGTGATTACTGTTGGCATAGACATAATGAGGAAGGTATTTGTGGAGGTATTAAAGCCAAAATATTTATAGAAATTGTCTCAAGAGCCATTTCATAGCAACTAAATTTAATTGTTTTAAGTAGAGAGGCTATCAAGTTTCTCCTATTAAAAGTAGGCATTGACCAAAACCAGTATGGCTCAGTGGATAGAGCACCAGCCTGTGGACTGAAAGGTCCCAGGTTTGATTCCAGTCATGGGCATGTACCTTGGTTGTGGGCACATCCCCAGTGGGGGGTGTGCAGGAAGCAGCTGATCGATGTTTCTATCTCTCTCCCTTTCTCTTTGTAAAAAATCAATAATATATACATAGAGCCAAATATATATATATATATATATATATATATATATATATATTATATATATAATATATATATTTTTAAAGTAGGCATTGGAAAAGAGCTTAGAAAAATTATTTATGATAGCAAAATAATGGCTGAATAATGTATGAGACTTTCTCATAGAAAAAAAATGAGAAATTTGGCTCTATAGTTTGTAAAAGTGCCCTTCCTCAACCATTCTCCTCTTTCCCTTTCCTCCTTCCCCAACTCTCCCCAATTAGTTTACATCTTATAGTTAATCATGGCTAAATGTTATTTCCATTATGAGTAGATTTTCCATGTATAGAATTAACAAGTCTTAGACTGGAAGCAACTTCTCAAATTTTTAAATCAGTCTTAGAAGAGTAATCTGAGGTACAGAGATGAATCCAGGGTGACTGCAGGATCTGTGTTAGCCATGGCTTATCTTTGTATTTATAGTAGAAAAAAAAAATGCAAGGGATTTTGTCTTTACTTGTTTCTAAGTAAGTGTGGAGGAGTTCAATAGCTGAGACTATTTCTACTACTATTATTGAAAAGAAAAAGTAGTCAGGATTACCTTTGCAGCATTTATTAAAAATACTAGAGGCCCAGTGCATGACAGTCATGCACTGGGGTAGGGCATGGGGGAGGAAATATCCCTCAGCCCAGCCTGCTCCCTCTCACAGACTGGGACCCATCAAGGGATGTCCACATCCACCTGCTGGCTGTTAAATATCCCCCCCAGAGGGGTCCTTAGCACTTGTGCGGAGGTGGAAGAGGCTGCTCGCCAGCTGTGAGCCTGGCTTCTGGCTTAGCAGCACTCCCCCTGTGGGAGCACACTGACCACCAGGGGGCAGCTCCTGTGCTCAGTGTCTGCCCCCTGGTGGTCAGTGTGCATCATAAGCAACAGGTCCTTCTGCAGTTTGGTCAATTTGCATATTAGCCTTTTATTATATAGGATAACTATTTAACATTCTTACACAAACAAATTGACCAAGGATTGTAAGGATGTTTTATTACTGAAACATTTACAAGAAAAAGTTGATTTCAAAGAGCTTACATGATTTCTCTCACCCACCAAAGAGAATGACATTCTATTTGATTCAGACCACAGCAAAATCATATGGGTGATTTCTGTCTGCTTCTTCAAAACGTTTCCTCCTGGGTCTATACTCTTTTAAACACATTAAAGACACCTGGAAATGGAAACTAAAAGTAGACAATACAAATACTATTTTGTTGCTATTCACATGAATACACTTTGTGCATTCTAATTAAGGAGAACAGGCGCTCTTGCTATACATCCTCTACGTTTCAAGCTATATAAAAATAAACAAATGGTATCAGAGCCACACTATGGTACAGAATACTGTATTATTTTTTTTTTATTATTTTTGTGCTAAATGCAGAACCACTTTGGCCAAACGCACCGTTTCATTTCCCAACAAAATCCATCAGTTTCCTGTTGCTTTCAGCTTGCTGTGCTAACTGCTCAGCCTTGGCCATTTTCAAGACTTCTCGGAGGATGTGGAAGGTGAGATCCAGTGAGGTGGTAGTTTCCCCGGATCGCCTCTCCCTTTCCGGGGCCTCCTGTGGACCGCTGAGGGCGCTCTCAGCACCGCGCTCAGCGGGACCCGCAGGTCTCCCGAGCGGGCGCCGGGGAAGCGACCGCAGCTGCCTCAACGCGCGGAAAAAGTTGGTGGCTACCTCTTGAGGGGAAAGGTGGCTGCTGCTGCGGCCGGTGAGGGGCGAGGAGGCTGACCAGAGGGGAGCAGCGGGGCTCTTATTGAGGCTACCTTGGCGGAAGAAGTATTCTTCCCCCAGGATGAGCGGGACCTGCCGAACTGGAAGGACCTGCGTCGGCGGCGGCTGGAAGAAATCTAGGGGTTGGGGAAGTTGTGGGGCCTGTCGGGCGCCTGGGACGGGCCCCCTGATGAGGAGAGCCCTGCATGGCGGGCAGGGCAGGAGAGCCACGAGCAGGACGCCCGCGGTCACCAGCAGCGGCAGTCTCATGTTAGAGTCACTAGAAGAAGGAAAGAGAGAAAGAAAGAGTTGGTCACAGTTTAGCGCAACTGGGAGGTGCGCCGTGTGTGTGTCTTCCCACCGGACACGCAGACCTGGCTGGGCTCGGACGGGCGCTGTCCGCAGTGCTGAAGCTCCCGAAGTAGGACTTACAGAGCTGGAGTGAAAGGAGGAGCAGGAAAAACGAATGGCTGCGGGGTTAGGCACCAAAGCTCAGCCCCTCGCCTCGCCAGGCTGGAATGGCCCCTCTCCTTCCGAAACCCCCAAAGGGACAGTCCCCTAATCCCCTTCCTAACGATCTCTAAAACTGATTTCCCGAGCTCTAGAGAGGATCTACAAATTGAAGACCTCAGCCGCTCTTAACTCCTACTCCCTTTCGGATGTTTCAGCCTTTCCCTCCAAATTAAAAGCTGCGCCTGGTCCTCCTCCTCCTCATCCAACCCTGCTCCAGCGCCCTTCTTTCGGGGATCGGGATCAATGGGGTGCTCCTCTACACAGCCGGAAAGGAATAATTGGAAGTTCCGGTAAAGATAAGTAGCCGTCTAAGTTTGCTTTTGCCACATCCCAGCTACTATAGGGATCTTCAGGCAGTCAGCAAACACACACACACACACACACACACACACACACACACACACACACACACACACACCACTGGAAGGGCAAGGGCAGGGTCAGGGCAGCTCAGGCAGTGCGAAGTTTCCGTCTAGGCTCCTACCTTCTGAGGCAGCTGCTGCAGATTAATGTCTCCCGGCTTCTTCAGGGGTTTTCTTTCTCTCTCCTTTCTGTTTCCCCTGTGGGTTTTTTCTCCCCTCTTCTCTTCCTCTTCAGTCTCTCAACGGACTTGGGCTCTGAGTTTCTCCACACCAGAGCCTGGAGTGGGATTTTATAGCGTCGACCCTCTTCAGAAATCACGCAGCATTTGCCTAATAAGCTGACGCTCTCTTGACAGCTCTATTGCGTGCTGCCTCTGCTCCTGCATAAATCATTGGGCCCTGCCAGGAAACCAGGGGCAGAATTTTTGCTATCTCAACACTGAATCTCACATCCAATTATATCAACAGATATTTATCGCCTCCTTGGTGACGTCAACCAGCCCTAAAATGGAAGAGCTTCTTATGACTTGTCCATTGACAAAAATTCTTGAATGAAATTTCTCAAGCGTGAAAACATATTGACCTTTTACTAGGAAAGGCCAATTTAAGGATCAGAAAAAAGAGACAGGGAGGAGGAAGGAAGGGAGAGGTGGGGGAAAGGGAAGTCTATCAATGCACAGTCCTGTAGGGAAAGCAGCAACCACTTATAGGAGGTGGCTCCTGATCCTCCTCTTCCCTTGCCCTCCTAACTTCTCTGACTAGTTGTCTTGTGCAATACCTCGATATCCGAAAATATTCCTTTGCTAAGAGACAAAGTATCCCATGGCCTTCCTGCCTGGATAAGAATGAAGAACAAGAAGATGAGAGTGTAGAGGCACTCAGCTTTTAAGCCTCTGTTTGCTTTTTCCTCCTAAGAACAGGTAATGGAATTATAAGTCTGTAGAGGCAAAACCAATAATACCAGTAAGTTTCTTAAAATGCAGGTCAAGCTTTTTAAATGATGGCAAGAGTTACTCCCATGATGAAGGGGCACAAACCGGGGGCAGTCTGGGGTGCAGCAAAGATTTTAAGTTTTTCCAGAAGCTTACTGCTCCTCCTTTGTCTCCTCTCTCAGTAATTGAGGACTTTTTAAATTACCAAATTAGAGAAAGGACCAGTAAGAGGTGCTTGAGTTAAACAATCTTTATTTAATTGCAAGCCCAATGAGAAAAGCATCGATTAACTTCCTGTTCTATATTAGAAAAGGTTTAATCTGCTTGATAACAGGGCATGTTTGCACTGATGCCTACTGAGCCTGTTAAAAGGTAAATTCATTCATTTTACTTACAAATACTATGATAATATCCATATCAAGGGCATCCAGGTTATGTTTAATTAATCATTTCTTTTTCCAAATTCAAATGTGCTCCACAGGAGCTTGTTAAATAAATGTTCTCTGACACTACCACAGAATGGAATGACTATAAACCTACACTCACATTTGGAATTAAATTGATATCATTATCTAGGTGGGAGACAGTTATCTCTAATAGTGCAATTCAAAATGCAGTGTCAAATTCTGATATCTATGATTCAATTCACCTTCTAGATAACCATCAGAGTTGTTTATCAGAAATTTCCTCGTTTTCATTTCCGGTACCTCTGCTGCTTCCTTTGTAGCTAACATGACAAATGATGCAATGCACATTTCAACTCCCATTTTGGCTCTATGCCAATCTATAACTGCTATTAGAAATAAAAGGAAGGTAAAAAGAGAAATTCTGGCAGTTTCCAGAGAAGTCAGCCCATAGTCGGATCATTGCACTAAGGAACATGATGATAGATAGATAGATAGATAGATAGATAGATAGATAGATAGATAGATAGATAGAATATTGATTTCAGAGAGGCAGGGAGAGGAAGGGAGAGATAGAAACATCGATGGTGAGAGATAATCATTGATTGGCTACCTCTTGCATGCCCCTTACTGGGGATCAAGCCTGCAACCTAGGCATATTCCTTGACCAAGAATCAAGGTTCTTGTGACCTCTTGGTTCCTGACTGGACACTCAACTGCTGAGCCACACCTGGCTGGGCTGGAATGCAGTTTTGACATGAGAGAACAGAGAAATAAATGTGTTTCCAGGAAAGATGTGAATTGTTAATAAAAGATTAGGATTATGAATAATAATTGAGATTTTAGAGAAAAGCTGTGTTTTATGTTGGTAGGGAGCATATAGAACCACAATTTTTGCTTCAAGTTGAAATGAATCTCAAGTGTTTTGCTGATTGTCTTTCATTAACCCTTCTCTGTCTGCATTGGCAAATATCAGCTTGGATGTCAATCTAGAGGTGGAAGTAGATTAGGAAGGGGAAGTTCAGATAAAAGCAAGTAGAAGAAGAATGAGGAAAGGGATAGAACAGGGCATTAAGCTAGGGAGGCCTGGGAGGTTTCTCCAGAGAAGACACATGCTTTGGACTTATTTTATTGGGCCAGATGGAAGGTGTTGTTTTAGTATTGCTCCCTCATCAATGTTGAGTCCTTGCAGTGAGATTTTCCTAAAGTAGGTATAGTTGGTTAGGGACAAAGTAGCTCTGACTAAAAGTGAGGAACAAAAGCCCATATCCAGAGGAACAGGGACTGTGTAGAGTAGTCCCTACCCACAATTTATCCAAAAGATAGAGCTCATCAAATTACTGAATGTGCACTTTAGAAATGACTTGAAGAGATCATTTGGTTTAAGTGAGAACCATAAAAGTTAAAATGACTTATCTGAAGTTACTCAACTAGTTACTGGTAGTTCTTTTGACTACCAGCCTTTTGTAGCGAGACACATGATCAAACTGAAGTGAGAAGATGAATTTAGGTAAAGTGTCATATTCACACACCAATGCTAAGGTGTCTTTTTTTTTTTTTTTTAGAATTTCCTTATATTGGTAAATATTATCACATGTAAATCTCCCTAGGCATGAAAACACACATAAGTTTCTGTATGTATATACTGCAATTTACCTTTAAACCGAATCTTGTAATTATAACATTAGGTTTCAAAAGACGTTGCCAACTTAATACGCTTACTTTGATTTTCCACATAGTTCACCTTGAAAAATAGAAATCTTTTGATAAAGTATAGAGTTATGTGCTTCTCAAAATAATTATACAGATGTGTGGCTGGAGATATAACATGTTGTAGAGGACTTACATGCGCAGTAAGCTAAATACCCAAGTCCATAAAAATCACCACTGACTGATTTTTATCTTACATGTAGAAATCATTTTTTAAAAGAAGTCATTGGAGAACCAATTTAAATAAAACATAATATGGAGGATGGCCAAAATTTTAAAAGACATGGCACAGCAATCCAATGAATAAAGAAATATCATAAATAATAGGTAACTCCTGGACTTATTCCTGTTGTCTGCATCTCCTTAGCCTTTTGAGAAGTACCCCAAAGTGTGCTTCAACTAGCAAAGTTCATAGCAAAGGCAATCTTCAAGTTGCTAACTGAAACATTTGTGTGTGTGTGTGTGTGTGTGTGTTTGTTTTAAATATATATTTTTATTCATTTCAGAGAGGAAGAGAGAGGCAAAGAGAGATAGAAACATCAATGATGAGAGAATCATTGATTGATTGCCTCCTGCTTGCCTCATACTGGGGATCAAGCCTGAACCCAGGCATGTCCCCTAACTGGTAATTGAACTGTGACCTCCTGATTTATAGGTTGACCCTCAGCCCCTGAGCCATGCCGGCTGGCACATTTGTTGAAATGAATCTATATCTTCAATGACTGCCCAGGTTGAACCGGTGGTCGGGTAACTGCTTGTAACTGTGCTTTAGATAGATAGATTAGTAACTACCTTCTACTTCCATAGGAAGATCTCAAATAGCACAGATATCTAACTGCTTCACAGGTAACAGTAACTTCTAATAATCTCTTCTGATTATCAAAGCTATTCATCCTCCTTGTAAGAAACTTGAAAAAATTACAGAAGTATAAAGAATACAAAATTACTCAGATTCCAGATTCTAAAGATGAGCTCAAATAATATTTTATTGTTTCCCTTGAGAAATTTTCCTGTGCTCATTGATTTTTAGTAATTGAGGTAACACTGCTCTTAATTGTGAATCTCTACACATTAGACAAGGGGGGAATGAGAAGGCAGGGTGGGGTGAGGATGAGCTCCCAACTCTGCCCTGCAGGGCGGAGTTATCCCTAGCCCTCACCCAACCAATCAGGGTTAGCCGAGGCAGTGACATCACCATCGACCGGAGTAAAAAACCCCTGGACTGGAAGAAATTCTCTCTCTTCCACCATGCTGCCAGCATGAGTGGGGGGGCCCATGCTAGCATGGTAAAGGCTCTTTTGTTTATTAAAAAAAATAAAATAAAATAAAATACAAACAAACAAACAACA